GGAGCTTTTGTTTAATTTGGCCCCTTTACTATTTGCCATCGAATGGCACATGGCACACAAAGCCGGAGCACCAAGATCAAAGTCAATGCCCCTGACCTGTTCTCACCTTCTCGCCAAGTTTCCCACGGAGAGTTTTCCCAAAGTTTGTCCTTTTCCTGCCGCTGTCGCACCTTGAGCGTGTTTCAACTCTTTCGCCTGCACTTTGCCATCCCAGTTGCTGAAATATTCATAATTGAAGTTTATTGTTTACCCCCGGATGTGTGCCACGCCCTCGCCCCCGCTTGCCGCCCCCTTTGGTAACTGGGGCCGCTTTGATTGTTTTGTGGCCCGGAGACCGTCGATAAGTTGGCCTGCAGAAAGTTCACAAACTTTTCAGTCTTTTTGTTTTAGTTCCCTTTTCAAGCGCTCTGAAAACTTTGATTGGCGAACAAAATGGCACAAGTGATTGGACATGTGCTTCATTTATTATACTGCATGCCTGACCTACTACTCTCCTTCCCATTTTTTCCAGAGAGGTATCAGCTGGTGAGCCAGCTATTTTAGAATTTTAATTATACTGAAAAGTTTGTAAATGCAATACATTGTTTACAGGATGTCAAGAAAAAGTTTCAAAACTTGTATTTCATAAGCCGAAACAATTTTAATTCTTTATAGTAATAAATAAGCTTTGTAATTTAATTAATAACTATTTTAATATAATACAAAATTTCTTAAATAATATTTAAGATGTTTAAAGGTTAGATATTGAAACCAGAAATTGATTTTAAATGTTCTCTTAAATAATGCATAATTTACCAAGATTTACCAATTAATCCAATTCATTTGTTGTTGTTTTGTATTGTAATTAATCAAAGAAAAAAACTTTAAAGAGTAAACCAAATTTTAAAAGACACTTTCAATAGTGATAAAGCATTTTTGAAACTTGAATAACCGACAAATAATTTCAGCTTTTCAAACATAAAATGGTTTAAGTCAGTTTAAATAAATTTCAAGTACATTCCACTTGTACTTTTGACCTTTATGTAAATCTTATTTTCGACGCTTTTACAAATACAAATATTTATTGAAAATGAAATGTTTTAAAGGATAAATGCTGTGTATTTTGAAATCGACACTATTATCATTTAAGGCTTCTACAAAGTGCACTTCCAATTATTTCTCAATGGCAACCACACAGTTCATGTCAGTTTTTGTATAGCAAAAGGTCACGCGTTTCCTATTTCCGTTTCCCGAGTGTTCTTGACCGATTTTTGATAAATTGCTTTTGCCTTTGAGCATCGAAACGAAATGAAATGGGAAGAAATGCGCCTCAAGAACCCATCCCTTATTTTCCAACTCGAAGCTTTAACGGCCGTTGGCTCTTCGTTTATGGGACCCACTTGAACGAGCTATTAAATATAATTGCGAGCAATTTGTGCAATCTACTTAGGATATCATTTTTAATGCGACAACCCGGCCCAAACCCATTCCCTCATTGCAATGCTAATTGCGGAGAAAGCGAAAAAACCGGGACGAAGGTAAACATGAAAAGAACAATAAGCACGAAACAATGGACTGTTTGCAATTTAAATTAACATTTTGAGTGAATCAAATAAAGAGCGAAAAGGAGTCGGGTGACAAAAACTGCTGAGTGTAGCAGCTAAATTGTTTTGTGATGCCACCGTCGGCACTGCAGATGGTCAACAGATCCCATTGCAGGCCAAATACCGGCAGGAAAAACACAGGTCGAGGGACATCGCCGTCCAAAACCAAGCCAGATTTGCATAACACGTTCCACATTGCGGTTCCAGAGGCCAAAAAACGAGGCGAGTTCCAGATTCTAACACCTAACGCCCGCCGAGCAGCTGCGGCTGGTTTCATATATTTCAGCCTCCACTTTGTGGAAAATCCCCCATCCGCATCTGACTGCCATGAAATATAATATTCCAGCAACATGGTAAAGCGAAAAGCTAGAGAAAAGCTGACTGAGACAATGATTGTCATTGCAGCACACAATTTAAAATTAATTTTGAATTTAGTAATTGTAGAAAATGTGTTTCTATTTTTTTACATTGTATGCCTTTGCAGAGGGTATTACCTAAACTATCGATTGATCATAATTTTAATCATCAACAAGACATGAAATTCAAACAGAAACTGAAAGTACAGTTTTCTTTTCCGGTTTGCTAGCTCAGTTTTAAACCATAACATAAATGTTATTAATGTTTTTATCTCACCCATATGTTTATTTGCGAGCTGCATGCTGATGTAAATTTTCTGTATGAGAGTCAAGGGTATGAAAACTTCGGTTTGCCAAAATTAGCTTTCGATCTCTTTTCTTTATATTTCCCACGAGATTCTCAATTTATAGTCAAATTTTTATTAACGATCTACAAAATTAAGAATTTATGTACCTATACAAAATCAACCGCTTATTTCTAATACCTCCATTAAAACTTAAATTTTAGCCACAAATAGGCAGTGTCAGGGCTTTATTAATTTATAATTATTTTTTTATTCCTATTATGCTGCTTACAATGTTTCAGAAACACGATCTTTCCATTCTCCTCGGCAGCGGAAAAGTGGCGGGAAAACGATTTACATTTCACTTGCTTGGAATGTTTTAATGCGACGCCGTTTTCTGAGCTCTCTTGTCTGTCCTTTTCCCCTTTTTTCGCTGACAACCTGGTCAGAGGACTCCGGGCTGTCCGAAACGCAAAGCCAAGGAACAAGGAGCGGCAAACAAAGGCAACAACAGCTAGGCAAACAAAAGTGGCTAAAAAGCAAAAGCTGCAAAAAGGCCAAAGGCGAGGCACGAGCTCTCTCACGAACACACAAACAAACCCGCTCGCACTGGCACTCATAGATACATATATGCATGAAATTTCACACCCAGGGGCGGAGGTGAAGGGGTACGGGTTGATGGGTGGTTTTCGGGGGCTGTTTGGGGCTGTTTTGGGGTGCACAAGAACAGCAAGAGGAGCCGAAATGCAAATACACAAACAATGGCGGTGCGGGGGCTACTAAGCCAAGCTAAGAAGGTTTTGGTAAACAAATTTTACTGCCAACTGGCACACAAACAGCTCACACACACAAATAGGCAAATACACTTAACCAAAAATGTGATGTTTCTTCTGTTAGTTAAGCATATAAACACTAATAATCAAAGTTTTAACAGTTCGCAGGAGTCATAATGTTGCCTTAAGTTAAAAAATGCATTTTTTGGAAATGACTTAACAATTTGCAAACCAAGAAAAAATAGCCAACATGTTGCCTTAAGTTAAAAAATAAAATACACAACCTTTTTTGCTTTTCTGAAAATGTGAGAATTATTAAAATACGAATAATAAAAAAAAACGTAATCGGATTTCCAATTAAAATACCACAATTTTTATAATTTAAGAATTGAACTTAGAGAACGCGAAATTTTCAAACTATTTGGCTACCTTATAGTTTTTTCTGTCTGTACATTTTCAGTTGTTGTTGTTGCTGTAAGCCCAGGACATTCATAGTTAAAATTTAGAGAGACAGCGCCGAGAGATTTGGCAAACAGCAACAATATTCCTACCGCTGATGTTGCCAGCCAAACATACCCCTAACCTCCCCCTCCCCCACCCGTTCTCCTCCTGTTGCGTTAATCAAGGTTCACACAATCGCCAACAACAACAACAACAAAAACAATAAGCAAAACAACAATGTGGGGCGTGCACGTGCCAAAATTGCCAGGGAATATTTTGCATTTGTTTTTTATTTGTGTTAGCGACATTTCCTAGCCGAGTTTTTGTTTTGGGCCATTTGTTGCTGTTGGCCATCTGGGTGTTGATTAAAAAATTGTCAGGTCCTGAAAATTCATGGCCCTCCATATCCTTCTTATTACAGTGTGAGTGGGATGTGAAACCAAGGTCACTTTTGATTTAAATATCAAGTATTTTAAGTTCATTTCTCATATGCATTTAAATTGGATATTTCTATTGGTATTTTAAAAGAAAATGTATAAATATTAGTCTAAAGTCTTTAAGTTGGAGTAAGTAAGTTTAATAAACGTGAAACTGAAGATTTTTAGTACCGAATTCTTGCTTTGTGACACACTGTATTGACCATAAACTGAGGAAAACATATACCCGTTATTCCCTTGAGAAAACCTTTTGGTTTCTGACTATTAAAATCGATTGGATTCTGGTTGCTACTGTTACATTTTGGCCCAGCCGAAGTGTTGCCATATTTTCCGGCGGGTTTTTAGGTTTGTTGAATGCCCATTTGGGTTAATAACAAATAACCGAATGGTCCATTATACGAAATGAGTCTGAGCCATGGCCAAAAGTGTTGAGAGCAAATGGCAACGGCCCTGACAATGGCAGTTACCAAAAGAGGGGCTGGTGGTATCCTAACGGGAGTAGATTATGTTCAGGGCTGCCCCGTTTGCATTACCCGAAATTACTCTCATGCATTACGTAATAAATTTATATGAGCTAATTGCCAGCGAAAGTTCATTAATTTGGGTGTCATGAACTTAATTTATTGGCCCCATTAAATATTGTTAGTTCCCGATTCTGTAAATATTGTGTTAGGCTTAACTGCCAAAAATATCATTAATATGAAGAGGTCTTTACAACAAGTTATTATTTAATAATGGTTATATCAAAGTTATTATTTCATAATGGGTACCGATTAATTTAACAATTTATTTTAATGGCTAATGATTTTGTTGAAAGTTAAGGATTTAAAGTTATTGCTTAATCATAAAAACATACATTTATTCGAACCAAAAGTGGAATTTCCGTGTGCAGTAAATTAATAAGTGGTCTGAATTTCCACCACAAATTGAATATTTCCTTTCACTATGATATCCATTGAACATAAGTACATGTATGCAAAGCAGGCATATGAGCAGATGGATATATATACACATATAGCCGACTCAATCGAGCGTTATTAAAGGCTTTGAAGTTATGTATTTGCTTTGCCGCAGCCATGACGACCGCTAATCTAATTTTCATATTTGTTCGCTTTGCTATTTGCAGATTTTATGACCCTAATATCGGCCATATGAACACATCACGACCAGCAGCTACAAAATTGGAATTCTAAATGCAACAAAATAGAGAAGTCTGCAGCATAAATCAGCGAATCTGGGCATTGGAACAATTTGTACATAGTATATAACCAAATCCGCACATTGCCAGAATCGATTAACTATACACGAGCTAGGTAAAATTGATAGCCCAAGCCTGAACACCAAAAATGCATAAATAAATAAATTGAAAGGCACGCAACGATTCTAAAAATATCACAAATTGTTGTATCAATAAATTATTAATAACAATTTCTGCGGACAAGCTGTAACAAAAAGGTTGACAACATCAAATAAAGTTGAACATCAACACAGAAAAAACACACACCAAATTCCGAATGAAAGCAACGAGGAGGGGAATTTATTCATACACAAATATTGCAAAACATTTTTCCAGTTTAGTATGCATATGTCGAGGCCATGATGGCAATAATGATAGCACCCCGGTAGTTCCCACATATCCACCCAAAAAAACCACACCCCCGCCCACCCTAGAAGTCCGCTGTAAATATTCGAGAGATTATTTTTATTGTCCTTTTCAACTTTACGTAGCATAAATTTACAATTTCTAGCTTGTAAATCATTTACATATACTTAAATAGGTAAGGCTGTGCGGCTGGGCGTGGCAGTTTGCTTTTCTTAAGAGTAAACCTTAAGTAGATAACACTCATACCCTCAAGAGCTTGGGGACATTTTTCAAATTGTATAGGAAATGAGAGTTGCAAAATTGCATAGATTCTTGCGATTAGTTGTGCGTATATACGATTACATATACCTATTTATAGATACTACAAATTCTATGCCTATGAATATAATAATATATATTTACAATTGACGACCAAGCAAAAGTAAAACTTTAACTTTAGTAACAAGTCAAACACAAAACACACTATTGAACAAAAAAACACACAAAACTGAACTAAAGTAGATTGAAAATTAAGACATTGTTAAAAGTGGTGAGAAGAACTAATGTAAGGACTCAAGAAGAGACCCTATTTCTTTTCACCTCTGGCAGCATAGAACATTTAAAAAATAAAACAAAAGCTTGTTAGTGATACTAATTTTAAACGGAAAAACAACAAAGCAAATGATTAATAAAAAAAAACAAACCTCGTTTGATAATTCTTAGCGAATCTAAAAGTGTTTACATTGTTACGAACTTTCTGTTAAAAGATTCTTTGTTATTAAACTGACTTCGATTTCATGTGTATATAGAGTACTTGAACACATCAATAAGATGCTTAAGCTATCTCAACTGAATAACTGAAAAATATAGAATTAGATAACAACTCATACAGTGCGATTCAGAGCTTCAAAAGTATTAGAGTAGTTTGATAATTAAATAAATGTCCAAATTTATTTGAAATCAATAAATTTAAATTTGTTTGACTTGCTTTATTTTTAAAAATCGTATTCTTTTTATTCAGTAAATATTTCACTAACAATATGACAAATTTTATAAATTCCCCAAAAAGATAAATCCAAGTTGTAAACATTTTTGCTTTTATCCCACTTTTATACTGAAAATGTTATCTGATTTGTTGCAATGAAACGCACTGTCCATACGTATACCAATTAACACAAAGACATAGAGACATTAAAAAACTCATGCACTTTTGCTTATGGAAACTACTTTATTTTGCAGATGAAATAAGAAAATGTTCCACGCAAATCTAGCAAAAAAATACATAAACACTATCTATATATCTATCATACAGCCACACTACCACACAGAAACACCACACACACACACACACGTATATAACTACACGCACATCAATGAAAGAAGCATAATATCTGCAACAATTTACCAATTAGAATTAAAAATTAATGGAAAAAACACTGTCTGAGCAAAAACCAACTAGCTAAAGCAAACGACTAAAACCACACTCAATGTAACAATGAACAAGAATCGAATCAAATCGAAACACGAGACACGAAAGGCAACGCAGATTAAAATTGAAATGAATATGCAAATTTGGCAAAAAACATAGGCTACATTAGACACAAGAGTATGTAAATTGACGAAACGTTCAATAAACGAAAGCGAAAAATATAACAAAAGTATTAATACACGTACAAAGGTCCATTTGAGTGTGCAATTTCATTTATTTCGAAATGGGCGGGAATAGCCATAGCCCCCATATTGGGATGCTGTTCAATCAATTGTTAAACCGGAAATGGAAACAACACACTGCGAACGAGGAGGCGTAAAGTGCATTGAGTGCACTTTTCATAGCTCCCATAGGGGCTGTGACTATGGAAACTATCGTGGTAGTCTGTGTGCTGCGGACTAAATTACTCGAAAAATATATTTAGTTGCTGACATGTTTTATGGATGCGTTGTAATTGAATTGAAGTTTCAAAGGGTGAGAGGGAGTTAAACGAAATGGACTGAAAGGGTCTCTGAATAGCGTTTCACAGTCCCAGGAAACGAATGATGATGGCCCTCCGTCGAGATCTCTTCTGGATAAAACATTTCGACAGTGTGAATAACCAACGAGCAAGGTAAATAAAGAATTGGAATATTAAAGGTCGGTATTCCTCCCCGTGCCATAAATTAAAGAATATGACTTTACATTTTGGTGTTTAGATTTTTACCTCTAGAGCTTATTAAAATGTATAAATTAAATCTATATAATCAGTCTTTCTTTGCCACTTGCTTAAAAAACCTAATTAAATAATAAATATCCTAAATACCTTTATGTGCAACAGAGAATTATTTCGCACTCAATTATTTTACAATGATTAGCACAAACTGTTGGATGGTTTCAGCTTTGAAGCCAATGACAATTATCATTTGGCGGTAATTAAATTCACTCTTTTAGGGTCGTTAAGCAATTACGCAATTAAAAAGCCATATTTTCATTATTCATTTTATATCAGTGCAAACATTAATTATTAGCTTGTACAGTTATTCAAATTAAATTTATATAGACATGCCTTTGCCTTTGTCTAAATACATGTTTTTTTAAATTTTTATTTGAATGCGAATCTCAAAATCTAATTAATAAAGGGAAAAGTATGCAATTAATATTAAAAAAAAGGAAAATCTAAAAAAATCTCTCAATAATTTAATTATAAATAAAATAGGTAAAAAAAGATTTTTATATTTAAACCCAAACCATTTTATTTTCGTATCTTATCTCATGCGACACCTGTTAAAAGGTAATTAAAATTTGTGGCCACTTATCACGGTTGCAAAAAAAAAAAGATTTAGTATTATTTAAGTACGGGCAAAAAAAAATGAGGTCTTCGAGCTGAAACCGCGGAAGATTAATTGAATCACATAAGTCCGCGTTTCCACATACAAAAATATGCAAACCGAATGCGTAATCCGCAGGATAAATGCGAAAAAATTACTGAAAAGCGAGATAAAAACACAAATTAAAAAATGGAAAACGCGTGTAAATAGCGAGCAGAATTTCGAGACCCTCTCACGTTCCTTTATTGCGGCCTGTGCAAATTTGCACCTAACCTTTAAAGCGACGGCAGGTGGAAAAGCTGGAAAAACCGGAAGGGGAGGAAAGGAGAAAGCAGAGGCTAGGGGACAGCTTCGCCATCTCATTCTAGCGCTCATTTCGTATGCCGCGCAACAAGCATTTATGTAAATTGAAAATATGCCGGTGACGTTTCAAGGGGCGCAAATATGAGGCGATGTTGAGCGGGGTGGTCATTTAAATTCAATTGTCAGCGACATCTTCTTTGCCGGCTCTGAAAATCTGCGCTCAAATGTGAGCGAATCCCCTCACAAGCCCGCATTTATGCAGAGATCACTCGCTAAGCGTAGTTAAAACGTAAAAGAATTTTCTAGAAATTAACAACAGAACAAACTAAAAAAATTTTATTTCTGGAGCTAAATTTTGTTTTATAACTTATACAGCAAATGTGCTGAAACCTTTATTTTATACAAAAATAACCAAAATGTTGTTAATATTAGTAGAGAAATTATTTTTGTGTAAGTGTGCCACCATGGCAACATTATTTTTTCAAAATTCTATTAAAACTAAAATATGGAAAAGCAATTAATAATGATGTATGTCAAAAGGAATACTTTTTACTTAATTAAATGAGTACTAAAACCTTTGCTTTCATAAGAGCTTATCAAAAAAATTTTATTTTTAATAGTTGAACGAAAAAAGAAACAAAATAATGTTAATAAGCAAGTGTCTATTAGCGAGTGATCACTGTACTTACACATACGTGTATGTTGCCCCCAGCGGGTGACCACGACAATAAGAATTTATATTTATTACTACGGATCCCGTTCAGTTCGCGTTCAACAATTGTGCCGTGCAGACGACGTCACAGATTCATTCATCGACAGCCAGGAAGAGAAAGTGCAGGGGAGTGAGCTGTGAGCAGTGAGGAAGTGCATTCACCAAGGGGATAAGAAGTAAGAGAGCTTCCGAGGATGGAGCGACTGCTGACCATGTTCGAGGAGGCGGATCCCTTCTCCACGTGGTGGCCCACGATAGCGGCCCTTACGGTGGGCATTGTGATTACAGTGCGGTGAGTGCGATGAGTCAACGGAAACTGTTTTTTTTTCCCCCTTTTTTTTCACCCGGCCACACCCCGCCACCAACCCATTCGGGGCATAAAAAGTTCTGCCTCGGACACACGTAAATAAATGTCGCAGCATCCCAGTAAAAACTCCCCCACCGTCTGCATTCGCGAAAAACTTTTTAAGTGGATTTCATACAGAGATGATGGTAGAGCTTGTTGCAGAGAAGACCCGGATAATGTGTAATATCTAAAGATAAATTTCATTTTTGTTACTCTCAAAATTCGAAGGTAACAAGGGGAGACTTTATCCATGTATAACCAAAATAAGTTAGGTAATGAATAAATTTAATAACTTAACATTTTCCTGAAGAAGTAAATAGGTATCATTTAAATGTGCGTTAAATATTGCTCAAAATTTCATTAATAAGGTTTAAAACGTAATTGAATAACAATTTGCTTTTGGCTGCCTAAAAGGTTATATTTTAATAATGATAATCAATTGAAATTGAAATTTAAAAGTACTATAGGTGATGTTAAAACTTTTAAAAATACAGAAAATAATAAGAATTTAACAGGGTATCGATAGTATAGGTACTAAATTGCTTTCTTACTTGATTTTTTTGTTATTCTTGCTCTGTTCGAGAATCGCGGTTTTTGTGACCCCTTTGCTATCTGTCGTTGCGCAGTTGCAGGTGTTAGTATAAGCCGGGAAAGCGGAAGCGGAAATAGAAATGAAAGCGACTGCAATATGGCACTTCAGCCTCCGTTTCACTCCACCACCCCCCTCAGAACCACCTTCAAAATATTTACAAAGTGGATTTTGCCAAGTTTGGCTCAAAGTAAATGAAATGCCAAATGAATTCCAAAATGAAGGATGGCAGGGAAAACTTAGACTTAAGTGCCAAAATAAGTCCCCGCCAAATGAAGTGGAGCAAATGGAATGTGGTGAAGATTATAAGTAGAGGAAATATCTGACTGCAAACTGCAGAAATTTAAGTGGCTTCAGTGGCGGGAGAGTATGCACTTAAACGAAGGGAAGAAAAGCAAGTTAAAAAGTAATTGTAGTGTATTATATTAATGATATTGGTTTAGGCATACCTATTACTTACAGTTTTACGCAGTTAAAATTGGATAGACATATTTTGCAATGAAACATAATTCACAGTCAACTAAATTGACCACAAATGGAATAGATAATTTGGTGCTTTCCGAAAGGCATGTTCAATAAAAAATTTGGTTATTCATTTTCGAATGTGTTGGCATCTATGCATTGCATTTAAATTGTTTAGGACTAAAATTTCTACACAACAGCACTAATGAACACAAAGTGTAATTAAACGAATGTAAAATGAATTAGAACTTAGCCATGCGAATTAATTGACCCCAATAGTAATTGTCCAAATAGTTACGCATTTATTAGGGATTTTGGGGAAATGTTGTGTTGCATGAAAATCAAGAAATAAATACTAATTAGTCAATTTTATGCCTGTGTTGAGATTAAAGCTTTTGCTAATACCTTTTCTGAACTTATTCCATTTCATGTCCTGTGGGTTGAAATTAAATAAATTAACAATAATGTGAACACAAATGCAACGAATTTATTCAAGTTTGAATTTGATTGGCCCCAGGCATATTCATGCAAATGGGTATGCTGATTCCATTAACGCCTATCAATAAGCCAAAATCCCGATACCACCCTTAAACCAATAAGCTGCACTAGACACTCAGAAAAATAAGTGTATACTTGCAAAATACAGCTTTAATAAAAACAAATTCATGGCATATCTTTTAAACAACAGTCTTATATTTGATATTGAATAAAACACCCAAATGATTTCTTAATAATAGTTTACAAATTTATTTAATCTTAGCTATTTTTTGATCATTATTTCATATTTTATCTTTTTTGAGTTAAAAATGTTATTAAATTTGAGGTGTAGATTTTAAAAATATTTCCGTTCAGATAAGGCCACCCCATGTATTTTAGTTAATTTAGCTTAGTGCACACACGCGACATGGATGCAGGACGTCATTAAGCGAGCCATAAACCACAGACCACATCCCACATGCCACACCCACCAACTCACTAACTCTCCCCCTTGCCCCATATGCCATCTAATCTGTGTCCTTTACCCGCATGCCAGGACCTTAATGAGCGGCCAGCGCTGTCCGAACGATAATCAAATCAAGGAGCAAATCGTGGTGGTCACAGGCGGGAATAGCGGCATTGGCTTCGAAATAGCCCAGGCATTGGCGGGCCGTGGAGGTCGGATAATCCTGGCCTGCCGGAATCTCCAGGCGGGCGAAAGGGCGGCGGCCATAATCAAACGGGAGCTGGGCTGTCGCACCCCGCTAACATCCCCGGATGATGATGACAATCCGGCGGACAGGTACTTCGTGGAGGCCCGCTACTTGGACCTCTGTTCGCTGCGCAGTGTCCATCACTTTGCCGGCCAGCTGATGGCGGAATTCGAGCGGATTGACGTGCTGGTCAACAATGCCGGCGTGGTCTTCGCCAACACCCAGGTGCCCACGGAGGATGGCTTCGAGCGGCACAGCCAGGTGAACTACCT